TAAAATCTTTAGGGGTAGTGATTTAATCACTTCTATCCCAAAGATACATGGTTTATATTTTCTAAATGCAAAACCTTTAGTAGGTCTATTTGCAGTAGCTTTAGATGATGAATTTGACTGATGAATTTGACCTTGCAAAATTATGGCATTGTAGACTTAGTCACATTGGAATGAAAGGTCTAAAGGCTCTTCAAAATTAAAGTGTATTTGGAAAATCAAATACCGGTGAATTACATAATTGTGAACAATGGTTGATTGGGAAACAAGTTAAGTTGTCTTTTTCCACTAGTACTCATAAATCAAAGCAAATTCTAGAATATTTACATACTGATTTGTGAGGCCCTGCCTTTTTCTGGCAGCAGCATGCTGCCTTTTAAATTGAATATATTTTCGGTTGTCCCAAGCTGACGAGCCACACGGGTCGGCTCGGGCTTTGTTTGACACCTAAAAGTGGGGCTCGACCCGAGCCTTGAGCCGGACGGGCTCGAGCTTTTTCCTAGCGAGCCACGAGCGGTCGAGCCCGATTGCCATCCTTACCTGCTGCCACATCTACATTGTTTGGTTACAAGTATTACTTACTGATTGTTAATGATTTTTCAAGAAAATTTTGGATTTTTTTGTTGAAAATTAAAGATGAAACATTACTACATTTAAATATTGGAAAATCCAAATTGAAAATCAAACTGATTTGAAAATTAAGACTTTAAGAACAGAAAATGGCCCAAAATTTTATAATTATGAGTTTAATGATTTTTGCAAATTGCATGGCATTTTAAAATATAGAACTGTAACACATACACCCTCAACAAAATGGCATTGTAGAAAGAATTAGTAGGAAGTTAGATACATGCTTTTAAGTTCAGGCCTGCCCAAATTAATTTGGGGTGAGGCTGTTAAAACTTATGCATATTTGATTAATAGAAGTCCTACAAGTGCTTTAAACTTTGATGTGTCTGAATCTGTATGGACACAAAAGCCTGTTGTGTACTCTTATTTGAAAACTTTTGGTTATGCTGCATTTATTCATCAAACCACAGGGAAACTTGAACGTAGATCACTTAAGTATATGTTTTTGGACTATACTGAAAATGTAAAAAGGCACAGACTTTGGGTTTATGGGGCAAAGGTTACAGGGTTATCATCAGGAGGGATGTGATCTTTAATGAGTCACTAGAGACGGATAGAAGACAAATTAGACCGCCTATAAGGTTTAATAGTGATGACTTTGTGTCTTTATTCACTTATCAAGAAGAAATAGAATCTGAACCTAGTTCCTATCATGAAGTTTTAAAATTATAATATTCAAAAAGGTGGTTGGCTACTATGGAAGAAGAAATGGCTTCTTTGTACAAAAATAAGACATGGGAATTAGTTGATAAACCAAAGAATCAAAAACTAGTCGATTGTAAATAGATTTATAAAATAAAGGAAATGGAAGGGGGCACTAACAAGGTTTGATACAAAGTTAATTTTGTTGCCAAGGGTTTCACACAAAAAGAAAGTGTGGACTATGATGAGATTTTTTTCCCCGTAGTTCAATATACAACAATAAGATGCATTCTTGTTTTGGTTGTGCAATTTAAGTGGAAACTTGATCAGTTAGATGTAAAAACTGCATTCCTTTATGGTGAATTGGATGAAGTGATCTACGTGAAATACACATTAGAATTTATTAAAGGAAATCCTTAAAAAATTGTGTTTGTTGAAAAAAATTATTGTATAGCCTAAAACAAGTTCCAAGACAGTTGTACAAAAGATTCGATTCATTTGTCTTGAAACTTGGGTTTAACAAAAGCAATTATAATACATGTCTTTATTGTAAAGGAAGTGAGGGTAAAAACTCTTTGTATCTTGTGCTTTATGTTGGCGACATGCTTCTTGCTAGTGCCAATAAATCTTAAATTGATGACATCAAACATAAATTGAAATCAGAATTTGATATGAAATTTCTTGGCCCCGCTAAGAAAATACTTGGCATGCAAATAATAAGAAATGAAGTATTTGATTGCTTGTTATTAAGTCAACAAGATTATGTGAATAAGATCCTAAAAGGGTTTAACATGTTTGATTGTAAAACTGTGACATTACCCCTTGCTAATCATTTTAAAATTTCATCTAATTCTTGCCTTAAAACTGAAGATGAACTTGAAAGAATTTCAAAAATACCCTATGTTAATGCTATTGGATCAGTCATGTACTTGATTATTTGCACTAGACCTGATTTGGCATTTAGTATTAGTGTTTTGAGTAGATTCATGGAGAATCTTGGTGAAAGTCATTGGGAAGCTTTGAAATGGTTAATGAAATACCTAAAGGGTTCATCTAACTTAGGATTAGTGTTTAGAATAAATAAAGAGGGGGTAATTCAAAAAGGGATATAGAGATTCTGATTTTGTCGAGAATAGAGACAATAGGAGATCAATCTAATCATATTTTTATACTTTGTGTGGCACTATAATAAGCTGGAAATCTCAGTCGTAGAAAATTGTTGCTCTATCCTCCATAGAGGTTGAATACATTGCAACCACTGATGCCATCAAATAAGGCATCTGACTACATAGGCTGTTAAATGAACTTGATTTTGTAGACACTAATCCAATCCTATATTCTGATAATTAGAGTGCAATCCATTTGAGTAAGAATCTCATGTTTTATGATAGAACTAAACACGTTGATGTCAAATACCATTTTATTAGAAATATTATCTCAAACGTTGGTGAAAATTAATTAAATTCCTACTTTGTATAATCCATCTGATATGGGAACAATAGTGATACCTTTAAACAAGTTTCAAAACTGTTTAAAGATATTATCCATTGATTCTATTCATTGACTATGCAGGTACTTAGAGCAAATGACATTATAAATAGTTGGTGAAGCTCTTGGCTACAATATAGCTAAGAATTTTGGAAGCAAGGTGGAGATTATTGTGGCTCAAACCGTTGAATTATCACTTATAAAAGTGTGCTTCCAAAATTGGTGTTAAAATCGCGTTTCCAAGTGATACCTTTTTTAGTGGAGGCATTGAACTGGATTGCAACGCGTGGCATCTTGGTGATCATTTGATAATGTTCTAGAGGTTTCTACCCTTATATTAACACGGTGACTCTTTGACTGCACAAGAAAAAGGGATATTTTATGGGTTTTGGTAGACTCTCTCTCTCTCTCTCTCTCTCTCCTTGCGAGAATCTCTCATTCTTGGTGAATTATGGTTCGTACTTTTGTGTGTTTTACAGTGATTAAGCTTGTGTGAAATGTTTGTAATACTATAAACTGTGAGAGAGATGTGATGTTCTGTGTTGTTGTTCGTGAATTTGAGTGATTCCACTTGTGAACAGTACATGTTTGGAAGATCTGAGTGATCTAGGTAGATTCCTTGGTGGAAAGTGGTCTGATTCGTGATTCTTGTAGAAGCTAAGTCTACATGCGTGTTGATTTTACGTTTTTGCACTTTATATTTACTGTTAATGTTTGATTTTTGAATCTTGGTTAATTCCTGTATGGTTCTCGACATTTCATGTTGGATTGTCATGATAAGATTCTGCAACAGCTGGAAGATGAATAAACTAATTCTTTTGTGAAGTCTTTACAATGGCTAACAAAAATTTCACCAATCTCTGAAAGCAACTTTCTAACTGCATCAAGAATCTCCTGATTCCAATGAAGATCTCCATGAATCTCACAAGAAAATCTCCAAATATTAAGCTCAATATATAGCCATGTACTATATCTTGCAAAAATTTTACAACTTACTATCAGAACATGATTAGGAGAAAGGATCAAACACTCTCCCTGCTCGCAAATCCACATAAAAATCTAACGATCTTCTATTCATTGAGTGTTCATGGAAAGTCCTTACTCTTTACAAAGGAAGAAGCAATCTAATAGTGAAGAAAATTCCTAATATAAAGAAAGATGATTCAAACTATTCCTTTCTGCCGCAAGACCAGATCTGATAACACTGTTACATGCATACATATTTTAGAGCTAATGGAATAATGCATCAATCTATCCTTTCAGAGTTCAGACTGTCAATCTTTTACAAGTTTCATAAAGAAAATGTTTAGAAAGTTCGTAGAGATTTCATAAACTAACTTTTGGCCAAAGAAAAAAGTATTACTGCTCTACGCTCTCTTGTAGAGCCGAGTAGCTGTGCTTCATCCCAAGATCAATTTCACCATCCACTTGATCTTGACACGGCTTGTAGAAGTGAGGTCAGATATTGCTCCACTCCTCACTAAAAGTAACCTTCTCTCATCAGATGAAGTGTGCTTCTCAATCAAAAGGACATTGATATGCTTATACAAATAGCAGATCGTTTTACGGTAACTGAGTCTGTCATCTGCGACATTTTTTTCCTATCTATATGACTTTCATTTCCATCTCCAATACCCCAGTTTCACTCTTTGAAGCTCACCAAAGCCTTCATTTTAATCCCAACTTGAACAAAATTATTTCTATTTGAGTTTCCATGCAAACTGCCACACAAAATAGAGTAAGGCATCGGATTTTGGGCCTCAAAATTGTGATCGCAGGGGACTTCACTTAAAGTGGAATTGATTATGGACGTTCCAAATTCAAGGCACCAAATCCATATAGTCGAAAACCGTACCTGCGAGTGTTCTCCTTAGCTCAACCATGAAATCCTCCTACTAAGTTAATTCCAAATAATACTTAAAATATAACCAAAAATAAATAAATAAAAACTCGCATCAACTGCTAGCAAAGAATGAAAAGAACCTACAGAATTATATAAACACAGATATCCATTACATTTGAAAATAATATCCCAAACATAATTACTTCCAACAAAATTACATAGTTGAAGCTGGAAAAATTATGTTCCGTAATGACGTGATGGGGGTTAAACAGGGACTTAGAAGAAAGATAATTTAAAATGAGGTGAGAAGAACCGTAGATATCAATAGATTCTCAATATAAACAGCTTTAAAAATTCATGTGGTAGATTATTATTCTATAGAGTGTCCTGAGAAACAACAGCATGTAAATCTCATTTGATAGTATTGAATATTATGATAAATAAAATTGCTTCCACCAAGATATTATCAAATAATTTAATGTTACAACACATATATTTACTGTTTGCTAGTAGATTTCATGGTACTTTTCTCTATCATAACAAAACATACACCAATTCTCTTAAAGATTTTTAAGGCTGCAAACATGCTCTGATGAGGAATTCATATCCCAGTCAAAATTTCCACATGCAGAAAGAACAGTTGAAAAGATGTAATCATCCACCTCGATGCCCTCTGCTTGCATTCTGTACATGAGCTTCAATGCCTCTCCACACAGCCCCTTTTTTGCATAAGCAACAATCATTGCCTTCCAAGAAACCAAGTTTCTCACTGGCATACTATCAAACACTTGAACTGCCTCTGAAATATATCCACATTTGGAATACATATTAATTAAAGCACTTCCCACGTATACATTGGGTAATGCCAGGGTCTTATTTATAGAGGAGTGAATCAATTTTCCTTGATTGATATCTTCCAGATTTGCACATGCTTTCAAAGCTGATGAATAAGTAAAAGGGTTGGGTTCCACACCTTCGCGCAACATTTTTTTCAAGTATTCAAGGGCCTCGTACTCATGACCAAGATGAGCACATCCAGAAATCATTGTAGTCCAAGAAACTACATCTCTATCAGGCATGTATTGGAGAACCTTAGATGCGGCATAATACTCTCCACATTTACAGTAGAGCCACACAAGGGCACTTCCGATGTAAATATTGCTTGGTGCAAAATTCTTGATAATTTGTGCATGAACTTCTTTTCCTGTCGATAAATCCCTGAGTAAGCCACAAGCTCTAAGGATGCTAACTACGGTTAAGTTGTTAGGAAATATCTTCAGTCTCTTCATCATACGGAAGAGTCTTATGGCTTCTTCACCAAGTCCATTGCGAGCATATCCTGCTATAATAGAAGTCCAAGTGGCTATGTTTTTTCTTTTCATCTCATCAAACAGTGCCCTTGAATCCTCAATCTCCTCACACTTTGCATACATATCCACTAAGGAAGTCCCTACAAAAACATCCAAATGAAATGCCTTCTTAACGATGACACCATGAAATTGTCTACCAAGTTTCAGTTCCTTCTCTTCCCCACAAGCATTCAAAATACTACAAACAGTAAACTCATTAGGCTCAAGTCCATCTGCTAACATTCGAGAAAGCACCAAAAAAGCTTCCTGTCCTTGCCTATACTGTGAACAAGCTGTGATCATGGTTGTCCAACTAATCACATCCCACTTTTCCATCCGGTCAAATACACGAAAAGCGTCTTCCAAATCATTGCATTGCGCATAGAAATACAAAATAGCACTATCTAAAATAATATTACTTAATCTACCCTTGAGTGTGCATGCATGTAGTTGCTTCCCAAGGTCATAATTACTTGTCCTGCTACATAAATTTAATGCACATACATATGTCTTCGAATTTCCTTGAAACCCATTCTCAACAAACTCACTAAACAATCTTAGAGCTTCATCATCAAACCCAAATCTTAGGTAGCCGTTGAGCATAGCAGTCCAAGAAACAACATTTTTGTCCAACATATTATCAAACACCTTACAAGCAGCTACCAGATCCTCAGATTTTATATATGCACTAATCAGATTATTGTATACGAAGGGGACAGGATTGTTGGAACACTTAACAATAATTGTATGCAGTTTTCTTGTTTCTTCCACGCTAGAACAAGCCTGAAGCCAGTTACCAAGTGTCGTGGAGTCTGTTGACTGATTGATAGGAGTAGCATCAGAATAAAACACATTTACCTTTTCATTATTATCCGCATTTTTAAGGGATGTTGAATGAGAATGACCATGTGTAGAAAAGGCTACATCATTGGGAGAAAAAATGGGGAAGTTTTGGTTGAGTGCATAGCTGGTACGGTAGCTCTTTGTTCTACGAGATTGCTTTTCACGCTTCACCAAATTGGACAGTTGAATATCGAAAAGGGAAGGTGTTTGAACCTGTATAAATGAAAGTGAGAACATCACATCAAAAGCCCTTGCTAGATGCTTCCCGATAACGCACTTTGATATATATTGCAGTTATTCCGTCCTGTGAAAAAGATAAAACAGCAATCAAAATCTACCAAATATTGGATCAGAAGATCCATTATTACACCTTGACATCAAAAAGGTCTCAGAAGATACAAGGTATGAAAAATTCAAATTAAAAGAGAGAAAAGAATTGTACACTTGGAAGAGGCTGCAAAACACAAATTAAATTCAGATATCCAAATCCCTTAAAGCCATTTTGAAGATTTTCAAACATTTTCTTCTTACTTTTAACTGTCAAACATTTAATCTTTTAACTGACTACCTCAAAATTTAGCTTGTTGCAACTTGCATCGTAAATATCAATCAAATAACTCTTCTAAACAATGGCGAACATAAAATCATTCAATAAATTTCAATAAGACTGGCAAATTAACAGATTTTATGTACCCGAGACAAGGCTAAAGCCCAAAATTCAAGCATAATCCTCCTTTCTCCAGAGGTTAGAGGTACAATTAATTATACGAGGATAATTCGAAACATGTTAAAGGAAACTAGTTACTGTGAGAGCACTTTGCGTTAGAACAATACATAAAGCAAACACTAAGAATGTCAAAATATTTCAGATAAGAACTAGGTAAATTCTTCGTTTAGTAATTAGTGCAGTCAAGAGAATTTTCGATTATAAAATATCTGTCATATCAACATCAAGCCAGCTACACAGTATTCCATATTTTCATTTCTTTTTCATTGAGCCTTCAATATGCAAGCAATAATCTCGGAAAGCGCACACACTCTAAAAACTACACATATATAGAAAGAGAGAGAACCTGGAAAAAGACTTTCGGATGTTCAAAAATTCGTCTCCGGACATTGATTCGACGCGAGGGAGAAACAATCTCAATTAGATATTTTTATTTTTCCTTATTTGGGTTTGGGCTTTGATTTTTAGAGCTGAATTGGGCAAATTTATTGGATAGAGGCCTGGCTTAGCCTAGAATAGCGAGAAAGTGGAAATTACATAATTCATAGTCATTTAAAGAATACAATTAAAAAAAATCAAGTATCAAGTTTGATTATTCAAAAACCAGGTCTAATATAATATCTCCGCCCAATTCAATTCCAGATCCCATTCATTTCACCTACCCATTGCAAAACATTTCACCATCACCCGTCTCTCTCTTCTCTCTTTGACGCCAGCGATAAAACATTTCACTATCACCGTCTCTCCCTTCTCTCTTCGACGTCGATGATCCAGTCAAACTCCACAACCAGTGACGAAGGAGGATGCGTCGATCGACACTATTGACATCGGGGACTGTTGAGAGTTCTCAGTAGCGTCTCCGGGTGCCGACTAGTGCGAATGGTGACTGCAAAACCATCTTTTCTCCGCCCGATATCTCTTTCTCTTTACTCTCTCCTCTTCCATGCTATTTGCAGATCCGCCTCTTCTCTAGTGAGCGCGTGGTTGGCGGCACTGCAACATTTCGTGAGCGACGATGTCGCTACTGTGGCCGAAGACGAGTGCGATTGCTACTGGTTCTGACCCTTTTTACTGCTTATGCTTGTGTAGCTGATGTGGGGTGATATTAGTGAGGTTGTGGAGTAGTGTATTGTTGTATGTTTTTGGTGGTGGTTTTTGGGTGTGGTTATGGTCTTTGTGGCTATGATGGTTTCCGAAGGTGGTCATGTTGGCGGTGGAATGTTGGTTATGTTGGTGAGGTGGTAGGTTGGGTATTGTTGATGTGTGTGGTGGTCATGGTCATGCTGGTTTCTAGCGACGGTGGAGGTGCTCGTGTTGACAGTGGTAATGTGGGTGGTGTTGATGGTGGCGATTTTGTTGGTGGTGATGTTGTGGCATTGGTGGTAGCGGTGGTGGTGATGGTGATAACGGGGTGAGGTGGTTGCAAGTGGTTGTTGTGACAGTGGCGGTGCGATAGTGTTGGTAACGATGGTATGTGACCCACCATTTGACATATGTGACCATCTATTTAGTTATTTGTGAGATAAAAATTTGATAATTTGTGGCTAATTAATTTTAAAATTTGTGATCGACAAATAAATCGTGACCTATAAGTTTTTTGATTTGTGATCGATAAATAATTCGTAGCCAATAACTGTACATATGTGACCATTAATTGCAAAATTGTGACGTTGTGACCTATACATATGCCAATGTGACCATTAATATATGATCGAGAAATAAATTGTAACTTATAAGTTTTTTTATTTGTGATCGATAATAATTTATGACCAATACATATACATATGTGACCATTAATTGTAAAATCGTAACATTGTGACCTATTCCTACATATATGTGATCATTAATTGCAAAATTGTGACCTTAACATATTTAATTAATAAAATATTTTAATTAATTAATGAACACCTAAGTTTTACGTTTTTTTTTGAAACTTTGAACCTGAAGATTGAATTATACATACTTGATGCCTCAGTTTTGAATTTTTCCCGGCCAGAAAACCCATACATGGATTCTGAATTTGAGGGAGGAACGTGGGTTTATATACATGAGAAGTTAATCTAATTGCACAAATACACTTAAGGTCAGGGTGTTTTTGAATATTTAGTCCACAATTGGTAGGAATTAACATTTTAATTTTAATATAAGTCAAAATCAATAATAATTTTAACCACATATTCCATAGGATTCATATCCTTTCAATCAACCATTTCCAGGGACGGATGTGGGGTTTAGCTACACTGGGTTACTAGATAGCAATTTTACGAATAAATATTCTGGAAAAAAATTATAGCTTCCAAATTTAAAATTAGCCCACTACATACCCTTTTTCAATAGAGAAAAAAATCATAATTCAGGTTTATTGTTTACATTAATTCAAAAATCAAGTACATAGTTTAAAAATTCAAAATTTAGGTATCTATATAATTAATTGAAAATATTTATTAATTAAATATAATAAAGTCATAGTTACACAATTAATGATCATAAATTCACAATTATAGGTCACAGATTTATTTATTGGTCACATATCATCAAATTAATTAGTCACGAATTATTTAGAGGTCACAAATCAAAAATTTATAGGTCACAAATTATTTCAAATCCAAATTACTTGGTCACAGATTATTAAATTTTTAGATCACATTAAATAATTGGTCATAGATAACTAAATGATTGATCACATATGCCAATTTTTTGGTCACAAACAATCAATTTTTTTGTGATCACCACTAACACTTGTGACCACCGTCTCACCACTACCACCAGTCGCATCGCCGTCAAAAATAGCCGCCACCAAAACCACCACCATCTCCAATAGCCCCGTCATCTAAAACACCACAACTAGCACTACCTCACCACAAACAAAACAAATACAAAACTGTCACACTGACGTCGCCACTTCATCATCTCCACCACCACCATAACCACCATTTCTACCAACAAAAACTATCCCTTGCACGACACCACTAAAACCACCGTCGTTCACAGCAGCATTGATCGACAAACCACCACCAGCATCATAACTGCCTCCACCACCACCATTGCGAGCCACCCCTATCACATCACGAAAATCGGTCAACACCACTTCAACTGCCAGCGGCAAACCACCGTCAATTCTATCGACCGCACATGTCTACCTCCACCGCACCACAGCACCACCACCACGACACCGTAGCATATCACCACCGCACCGCACACATCCACCATCGAACCATCAATTACCAGCACTCAAAAATTTAAGAAAAAAAGGAAGAAAATGAGTAAATCTGCAGAGATAACGCCGCCTAGGGATCTGCAGCATCGCCCATATCTGAAGATGAAGGTGTCGATGAGCGCAACACAGGAAGGATCATGATAGCAGGTGGGCGCATGCTATGTCACCAAATTCGAGTGGTTCGGGGGAAAAGAGAAACAAACGAGGAGATAAAAAGTGGAGGAGAGAGAGTTGGGCAAATGAATGAGGGTTTTTATGGTTTGATACCTGATTTATGAATGGTGAAAGTTCACCCCGGATTTTTGAATTCCAATTTTAAACACCTGAAATTCTGTAATTTTCACTTTTCAATATTTAACCATTTTAGCCCAACTTAAATGGATCAACTTTTAATCCAATTTATATAATTAGCCCACGCACCAATTTAACCCTTAAACCAATTCTTTTCCAAACCCACCTAATCATACTTCTCATGTCCCATTGCTTCTGGAAAAGCTCAAGCCACAAAAGGGTACTGGCAACCACGTTACGTCACCACCATCTCCAATTCTTCGTCGTCTACTGAACGAGCTTTTACAGCAATGAAACATGTGAAGACAGCAATTCGTAACAGAATGGAGGATTAGTTTCTTACTGATTATATGACACTCTACATTGAATGAGAAGTTGGCGAGAAAATAGATGTAAATTCTGTTGTAGATGAGTTTTACGCAATTACAACTCAACGGACACAACTTCAGTAGGTAATATCGTAATGAAATTTTATGTTATATATTTTATTGGTCATAATATGAATCGTTTTTGTTAGAAGCAGTTTTGGACTTAATTATAATATTTGACAAGTTCAAGGACTAAAATGAAATTTAAAAAAGTTGAATATTTATTGTTTTCCATCTTTGAGCATAGTTTGAGCTCATATGTTCTTATTTGGGTTTTGCAAGTTTGAGTATCTATTTGCAATTTTGTAAACTTAAAGAAATAAGTTGCAATTCCTAGAAAATGTTTATGAATTGAGGTATTTGTAGACAAATTGCAAATTGACAAGGATCAAAACCTAGAATTAATGTAGGGTAAGAAAACTCTATGTTGCAAACTGGCTGACAAGCTTTGGAGAGGCTTCGACAAATCATCTGGCAAATGAATCATCGTTTCCACATTGTTTCGAAGATGGAAATAAATTTCACTTTGGCTCGATGGAGGATAGACAATGAGTCTATTCTGGAGGACCATGGTTGTTCAATAAGCAGATCCTCTTTCTTAATACCTCTGCAAGAGCAAGCAATTTGGATAGTATAACAAAAATGATCATAGAGCCATTGGAGTTGTAAGTAAAGTGTAAGGGTGCGGGAGACATGAATCAAGCTTGCTAAAGTACGTCAGGTCTCTTCAAATGCATGTTGATGTCGATATTGTCTCATAGTGTACGAGATGGGATTGAGAAATGTCAAATATTGTTATAATTAAATGAACTTAGGCCTAAGGAATATTCAAAAAAAAAAAATGTTGCATCAATTTATGGGGTTTAGAAATACTTATACTTCATTCAGTTCTTGCATTGATAAAATGAGTTACTCCTTAAAAAATGTGTGCTTTGTTCTGGAGTGTAAGAAGTCGAGCATTGTTTGTATAAACAATCGTTGGATCTCAACTAGCATTAATGTCCAATTCAACTTTATTTCTATTGTGTTCTTCGAAAAGCAAACTATCAATCAAAAGGACCTAAATCCGTTAGAACTCGGAAACCTTCCACTAACAAGCAATTGGGTTTCCACGTGGTTAGATGTACAAGTTGTCATCAAATTCTTAGTAAAATTTCATGTAATCGTATTCGATGGTTTGATTTACGAAAAGTGGCATGGTAGTCTAGTTATATGTTTATTAGATTGCGATTCAAATTGACGAATATGGACAAGACTAAATTTTCACATGATTTTGGATGCATTGTAAAAACAGAAATACTTTTGGATCCAAGTACATATCAAAAGCAAGAATTTAGTTGAAGTAAAATGATTTGGTTCATACTACATAAACATAA